TTATCAGTATATATTAGATTTTTAGATAGATTTTTTAAAGTTTCATTGAAACTTGTCTTCTTTAGGACTAGGAAACACATAATGTGATCATTTACCTCTGAATAGAGAAAGGACTACTTCCTTAAGTATTTTGTCCTTCGATTTTTGACTTGTACCATCTCCTTTTAATCTGTTTTCATTTTACTGGCAGAGGGGAAATAACTTGTTTTAAGATGAAATTGTGTACTTCCTCTGGAACAGAAGTTCTTAACCTGGGGCCCATGGATTGATTATATCTTTATTTTTACTAACCTTTGTCCGTCTGTGTAATCTTGTGTATTTTATTTTGTGTAATTAAAAAACATTCTGATAAGGGATCCATAGGGTTCTCCAGATGTCCAAAGTAGGCTGTAACACAAAAAAGCCAGCCTGGAACAGTAGAAGTAGTTCCTGCTTTAGCTGTCTTGCCTATCTCCTTTAGAGAACTGGCTGCCATGAGAATTCATCTTTATGGCACCAGCAAGAGAAGAGAAAAGGGAAATTCTCCCTGTGGGGGGAGAGATATCTACTGAGTCACACACCCTAGGCTGATTTCCCCTAAAAAGGCAATGAAATCATCCTTAATTGGTCCAGAGTACTAAGTCTTGATTTACTGGTATAACTTCCAAGTCACATTCTAAGACAAAAAGTCCAGTGGACAAGGAAATGGGGCTTCTCAGCCTTGATGGACTCCCTGTTGCTGTGCAATCAAAATACCTTTCTGACTGGGCCCCATGGCAAATGAGAAGATACAAGGATCTGTTTTGCTCTTAAACCAAAGCTGTACCTTTCCTGATATATTTTCTGTGCTTCTACTGTAAACTTATTCTTGTTAAATTTCTTTAAAAAAGGTGAAACCTCTTATGGATTTGTTTTTTGCCTTGCTGATTCACATAGATGCACCACTAAAGGGAAGGCTCTCTTAAGGATCTACTTCCTGAGACATTTAAGGGCTTGAGACCCAGGAAGATCAAGTTGCTCCTCCTTTGCTCATTATATAGAACACTGTAGTCCTAGTGACATAAGCAATAGAAAGTTCTTAGAAAGTTCTTAGAAATAAATGTTAAAAACTAGTTCATCCTCAGGAGTGAAGATATCTGTCATTATAACTTGCATTCTGTTGTCACGTGCTGAATTTTATAAGTTTTCCTGTGTATTTGTCACATTTTGCAACAAAGAAGTAATGCCACTGAACAATACATGGCATCCTTCAAAAAAAAAACTTATTGTTCCATTTATCCTGATAGAGGCAGAATAGCAAAATAGAGTGCTGGAGTTAGAGTCAGGAGGATCTTGATCCAAATCTCATCCCAAGTACCACCAATGACTGTGTGACCTTGAACAAGTCACCTATCTTCTGAGCTTCTCTGGCTTCCTTCAAGTCCCAACTGAAATCCAGTCTTTTACAGGAATCCTTTACCAACCCCTCTTAATTTTAGTGTTTTTCCTCTTTTAATCATTTTTTATTTATATTGTACATAGCTTGTTTGTGTATTTTTGCATGCTTGTTGTCTCTCATTAGATTGTGAGCTTCTTGAGAGCAAGGACTATTTCCCCCCTCATTTATATCTCCAGAGCTTAGCACAGTGTTTGGCACATGATAGCCACTTAATAAATGTTTATTGACTGACTGACATTGACATTGAAATATCCTGGTGTTTTCTTTGTCTGTGTGGCAGTGATTGGGCAAAATAAATAAATAAATCATTCCAGTGTTTGAGAAACTATGATGTAGAATGAAATTATGTATCATTAGTTTTTAAACTTTTAAAAAATTTTAAATTACTTATTATTAAAAGAATTTTCACGTACCTGCATTTTTATTGTCTTTTTTTATACAAAAGTCACCTGATTTTTGTCCATAAAGAAGCTGTTAGAATCTCAAGACATCAGGACCCAGTTCTTGTTTATTTCATTGACTCACTGTACAATCCTGAACAAGACACTTAACTTTTCAACATCTCTGTTTCTCCATCTGTAGACCTTAACAGATCTCATTTTGTGGTATAATTAGTTGTTTTTAAAGAGCCTAAATTACTTCCGATAAACTGGGCCTGAAATTAGTCCTGGGTTCATTGAAGTGGGACATTAACCTGAACCTGGAGGCATGACAGGCCTCTTCAATTTTTTCTTCCAGATAATAGCTTTCATTCTTTTTTGTTTTGTTTTTATGAGAGGAAAAGCAACCAATATATTGGTCTTCATTTTACTCTGATTGCTTTCCCCCTGCCACTTAATAGTATTTTATTTTTTCCAATGTGTAATATGTGTAAACATGAAGATAGTTTTCAGCATTCACTTTTATAAGATTTTGAGAGTTCCAAATTTTTTCTTCCTTTCTTCCCTACCCCTTCTGCAAGATGGCAAGCAATCTGATGTAGGCTATACATGTATAATTATTTTGGGCATATTTCCACATTAGTCATGTTGTGAAAGAAGAATTAGAACAAAAGGGGAAACTACAAGAAAAAAAAGAGAGAAAATAGTATGCTTTGATCTGCATTTTCCATCATGAGTCTTTTGGAATTGTCTTAGATCGTTATATTGCTGAGCAGAGCTAAGTCTATCAAAGTTGGTCATCACACAGTGTTGTTGTGTACAGTGTACTATGTACAATGTTCTGGTTCTGCTCACTTCACTTAGCATCAGTCCATACAAGTCTTTCCAGGTTTTTCTGAAATCTGCCTGCTCACCATTTCTTAAAGCACAATAGTATACCATTACATTCAAGTACCACAGCTGGTTCAGCTATTCCTCAATTGATGGTTATCTCCTCCCCCTTCAATTTTAAAAAGCATTCTTTTAACACCAGTGCAACTGCCAACCACTAACCCATTCCTCTTCTATTTGTTTAGCTATTCCACACTTGACTGGCATCTGCTTTGTTTCCAATTCCTTGCTACTACAAAAAGTTTTGCTATAGATATTTTGGTGTATATGAGAGCTTTCTGTGATCTTCCTGGTGTATGTGCCTAGCAGTGGGATCACTGAATCAAAGGATATAGATATTAGAGTTAGTTTTTTTTTTTTTTAGCATAATTCCAGTTGATTTCCAGATGGTTTGGACGAATTCACCGCTAGGAGGATATTGTGATAGTATAGGTAAGAGAAGTTATGAGGACCTAAACTAGTTAATTTAAGGACTCTCTTTCGTAGTTGTTCCCTATGTCATCTTGACTAGAAGTCCCCATTTTTCGACTTTACACCAATTTTCCAGTCACCTAAAATGTGACCAGGAAGATAACTGGAAGATCTGGGGATTTTGTATGTGTAGAACATCTGGATTTATGGGAGACATTGGGCAGTCTCTCATGGTATCCTTATGGACCATATCTACTAGGAGATGTGTAGTAGTTTTACCATGTCATTTCGCCCTTGACCCATTCCTCATCAGAATTTTTATCCATCACTTGGATGACTATATAGATGGCATAATTAACAAATTTGTAGCTGATTGAAATCTCGAAAGGGTTCAGTAATGCTTTGGATGACAAAATTCCAAAAAGATTCTGGTATTCTGGGATGATAGACTAAAGTGAAAAGATGTGAAATATTAGAGGCATAAGTGTAAAGTCTTGAACTGAGTTCCAGTATAATTTTGTGGCTTAATTTTTTTGTATGAAAAAAAATTGAGTTTTAATTGGCTAAAGCCTTTGTTGGAGGTATTAGTGTGATGGGATTTGAAAAAAAAAAACAACAACAACAACCAAAAAAACCCAAATGTAATCTTAGGTTGCATGAATAAGAATGTACTGTAGTGTCCAAAACAACAGTGGTTGCAGTCCTATAACACTCTGTGCTGTGCAGTGTTGTGTTATGTCTCAGGTGTCACATTTTCTAAAGGGACACTGACAAAGATGTTGGGTGATCAGGATTATTGTGACCATTTTATGCCATGGAAAGCAAGGAATCGTTAAAGAAACTGAGGATTTTAACCTGGAAATGAGAAGACCTCAATGAGGGACATGATAACTATGAGTACTTATTTGAAGGGCTGTTATGAGGAAGAGAGATTACATTTATTTTCTGTGGCTTTTTAGAAGACAAAACTAGAACTAATGGATGCAAATTACAAGGGAATAAAGTTGAATTTGCTGTAAGGAAAAAATTCCTACTAATGCTATCCAAAAATAAAATGAGTTACCTCATGCAATAGCAAGTTCCACATCAATGGAGTTCAGACCGAGACTGAATGACCAGTTGTCAGGGGTGTTCTAGAGGGTACTCATGCAACTGGCATATGGGTAGACTAGATGATTTATGATGTTACAACTCTTGTGATTTTATGATTTCATGCTTATGAATGGCAGGACAGCTAAGGTCTCTCTGGAACCTGGAAATTGTGGGGAAAACTCTGAACCCGTAGAAATTATCTAGTCTTCTGTCTCTGGCCCTAAAAAAAGAAAAAAGCATTATCTGAAACATTTGTGACTTTCTGTTGATACCTTTGAACTTGAATAGATTTGAAGGGTAGCAACAACAGCCAAATATACCTAGGTAAGCTAGTCTTTCTTAAAAAAAAATGATAACTTCCATGAAAAAAATGTTACATTTTAATAATATCAAAGTCTCTATTTTTTTTGTCCCCTTCTGTGTCTTAAGGAGAAAACATCTGTCATTTAAAAAAAAATCTGTCAGGTTCACATCCACAGTTCATTTGATAGGATTTTGCTTCCTTAATTTTTTTAACCTATCCCTTACAATTATTTTTAAAGTGTCCTTTTTGCCAATGTGCAATATTAGTCACAGGACTGGTAATAGAGAGGCAACTAGGTGGTGCAGTGTATAGAGTACTGGCCCTGGAGTCATAAGGACCAGAGTTCAAATCTGGCCTCAGACACTAGCTGTGTGACTCTGGGCAAGTCACTTAACCTCAAATGCCACATCCTCCCCCCCTCCAAAAAAAAAAAAGACTAATAATGGACTACATCCTAGTCCTATTGATAAGGAAATGCTTGATATTTTTTCTTTTTTTCTTGAAGGTAGTTGGAGGCAAAGTAAAGAAACCAGGTAAACGTGGTCGGAAGCCAGCCAAAATTGACTTGAAGGCAAAGCTTGAGAGAAGCCGGCAGAGTGCACGAGAATGTAGGGCCAGAAAGAAGCTGAGATATCAGTATCTGGAAGAATTGGTATCTAGTCGGGAGAGAGCCATCTGTGGTCTCAGAGAAGAACTGGAAATGGTAAGGCATTTCTATTTTGTTCATTTTAGTTTTATTTGTAATTCAATGCCTGTCTCCATTCACTTAGCCAAAAGAGCAACAAATTTAATTTATGACAGAGTAGAAAATTTGTTAGATACTATATAGTGTAGATCAGTGGTGTCATACTTAAGTAGAAATGGATTCCTGTGGCTTCCTATCAACTTAGAAAACCACAAATTAACGTTACCTATGTTTTATTATATTTTCATTTTTTTGTTAAACATTTCCCAATTACATTTTAGTCTGGTTTGGCCCACCCTAGAAAGTTTTGCAAGCTATGAGGTTGACACTGGTGTAGCCTTACTAGCCAGACATCCTCTGGAGTATAATAATTTGTGAGGAGGCAAAGTAATAGTACTTCATGTTTATAGAGAACAATCTTGTGAAGTTGGTAGTGGAAGAGGTAAGTAATGTAGCTTGGTTGAAATACTGGATTTGTATAGGGAGACCAAAAATGGCTTATTAAAGTAGAGAGAATATAAGGTTAAACGATTGTGAATGCCAAGCTGAGGAACTTGAACTTAATATATAGGGTAAATCACTGTACTGGAATATTAATGTCCTACTGAAATTTATATGTGGGGAAGATTTTTGTAGGAGCATTTTATAATTTCGCTTTATCTTACATGCATTTATTGATTACAGAACACCTTGTGAGATACTTGTGAGGTAGAAAGAAAAATAAATAAGAAATAGTCCTTGTTCTTGAGACCCTTATAGTCCAGTAGGGGAGATAAGACCCTAAGCTTTAAGGCAAAAAAGTAGATGGTGAGTATATGAACAAAATGTCATAGCCAAATCCAGACTTCTCAGGTCAAAGAAAAAATAGTACAAGCATCCAGAAAGAAGTAGTTCAAGTACCAAAGGGTCTATAGTCAGTACCTCACAAGACCTGGCGCAACTACTTAAATTGAGAGGAAATTTTTGTGTACAATGTTCCTGATGTCAAAAGAGATAGACTTCCAACCAAGAATAACTTACCCTGCAAAGCTGAGTATAGTTCTATGGGGGTGGTGGGTTGGGGGGGAGAAGCGAGGGGGAATAGATTTTTAATGGAATAGAATACTTTAAAGAATTTCTGGTTTGAAAAAACCAGATATGAGTAGGAATATATTTTGAAATATAAACAAATCTAGAAAAGTAAATTTATTTGCATAATCAAAAAGAAGTATATGGTAATGTAATGCTAATGTTCAAATAAGGGGAAAAGGAACAAGTATTCCTTTAGAATCTTAATGTTTTTGAAGGCTATTAATGGAGTTAAATAAGAAAAATAAAGTTTCTGAGACTGGTTTGGTTCCATTCTGAGGGTTTGAAGAAGGGGAAGAGAAAGGATAGATGTGTAGAATGGAGGAAGAAGCAGTGAAACTTGCCTAGAATCAGTTACTAAGTGGCAGAATGGGGATTTTCTTACATTTGTGTAATAGTGCTTTAATGTTTACAAAATGCTTTACAAAATTTAATTTGATCCACATGATAACTTTTTGTGGTAGGTGTGCTATATTATTTCCATTTTTCAGATGAGGGAACTGAAGCAGAGAGAGGTTAAATAAGTTGCTCTGGGTCACACAGCTAGTAGCTGCCTGAGACTGAATTCTAATCCATGTTTTACAGACTCTTAAATCCAGCTTTATTTACTACAGTTCAGAGGTGTCAAACTCACAGGCAGAACTCCCAAGTGTTTGAATCAGATTAAAATGTAATTGGGAAATGTTTAACAAAATAAATAAAAATAAAAGATAGATATTGTTAACTTGTGGTTTTCTAAATTAGTATGTGTTCTGCAGAGATCGATTACTTAGTGATTTTGATACCACTGCTCAGAATACCACATTGCCTTGGCTTATGGACTTAAACATATAAATATATGTAAATGTTTGTGGTTGGCATAAAAACATCCATATTGATTCTCAATACATTTTGCTTTCTTCAGAACTTTTGTTAGGCAAAGTGTAGCCAGGTTTCTTTTACCTGAGGAGGAAAGGTGATTAGTCCTATGGGAAATACTGTTCCCCATTCCTCCCAATATTATAGAAAGAAGATTCACCTCCCTGACTATAGGAGAGGGTGGGACTCTATAAAGGTAGATATACGCTCAAAAGATATGTGATCTCATTGATTCATGAGTTCCCTCTAACAATGCAGAGCATAGCACATCCATACATGCCATTTTGTGTAAGTTTTATCCATGTCCTCCCAAAAGTTCTCCACAGGGGGTCCACCCAATGTCTTAGAGGCTTTCCTTGCTTACTTTTGCTATTGTGAGGGTACCACAGGAACTCTCTGACTATCCACCTGTCATTCTCCATTCTTGCTACGTAAGCAGTCAATCTTTTCTTTCTGTCATATAAATTCCTTACTGATTTCTTTTACCCCTGTTTTTCTTCTGAGTTGTTTGTTGGTTATATGTTGCAGACTATTCACAATCCATTGCCTTCTGTATGATATTCATTTTAGTTCTCAATTTTCAACCTTCTTGACTTCCCTACAGTCTTTGACACTCTCAATCACAGTTTTCTCCTTTATACTCTCTTTTCTCATGGTTTTGGTGACGCTGCCCTCTCCTAATTCTTCTGTCTGATCTCTCCTTCTCTGTCACACTTGCTAACTATAGGATCCTCCCAACGCTTTGTCCTGGATCTTATTTTCTTTTGTCCCTATGGTATTTTACTCAGTGGTCTCATCAGCTTCCATGATTTCAATGATCATATCTGTGTAGATGACTCTTAGATTTGCTTGTCTGTCTCTAGTTTTTCTCTCCAACTGTTGTCTTGCCTCCCCTTAACTATTCACTGTCTTTCACCCTGCCCCCATATCCAATCTATGCCAAGTACTGTCATTACTGCTTTAAAAAATCAGTTTTATTTTCTTTTAAGTTCTGAATTCTTTCCCCTCCATCTACTTCTCCCCCACCCATTAAGAAAGCAAGAAAAATGAAACCTGTTCCAAATACGTATAGTCAAGCAAAACAAATTTCTGCATCAGCCAAGTTGGGGGAAAAATGTGCTTCAGTCTGCACTGAGTCCCACACCTCTCTTTCTCTGGGAATGGATAGCATGTTTTATCATGAGTCCTCTGGAACTGGTCCCGTTGTATTTAGCAGAGTTCCTATCTTGCAAAGTTGTTTGTCTTTACAATATTATTGTTACTATATAAATTGTTCTGGTTCTGCCCACTTCACTTTATATCAGTTCATACAAGTCTTCTCAAGTTTCTCTAAAACCATCCTCTTCATCATTTCTTACAGCACAATAGCATTCCATCCCATACGTGTATGTAACTTGTTCAGCCATTCCCCAACTGATAGCCAGTTCTTCAGTTTCCAATTCTTTGCTATCATGAAAAGAGCTGCCATTACTATTTATACTTCTTATACTTAGCCATTAGTACATATTCTTTTTTTCTCTTCTCTGACACAGCCATTATACTGGTGCAGGTCCTTGTCACCATTCCTGGACTATTGCAATAGCCTGCTGGTTGGTCTCCCTTCTTTATGTTTCTCTCCATCCAATCCATACTCCACTCAGCTGTCAAATTGATCTTCCTAAAATACAAGTCTATCCTATCCCTTCCCTACCTCCACTCATTAAAATCCAATGGCTCCCTATTACCTCTCAGATCAAATACAAAGCCTTTTATAACCTGGTTCCCTCTACCTTAATCAGCCTTCTACTTAGTTTTACTACTTACTCAGTCTTCTTATACCTTACCTCTATTCCCTCTGTAATCTAGTGACACTGGCCTCTTTGCTAGTCCTTAAACTCCGGATTCTGAGTGTTTTCCTCTGGCTGTCCCCCATATTTTTATACTTTCTCTCTCCTTATCTCCAGCCTCTAGCTTCCTTAGCTGCCTTCAGCTCTCAGTTAAAGTCCCACCTTCTTCATTAAGCCTTTCCCAGTCCCTTTTAATCTTAGTGCTTTTATCTTTGACCTTAAAATCACTTTGAACCTCTTTTCTGTGCTTTTATTTACCCATTTGTAGTATAGTTACTGGTTTTATGTGTGGGACCCCTGCCCCTCTCCATGTAAACTCCATGATGGCAAGGATTGTGTCATAATTTCTTGGTATATTTCCCATTTGGTTTCATTTCTCTGCACATAGAAAGTACATGGGAAATGTTTTTTGAATGTGAGTTGACTGAATTTTGCATAAATATATTTTACATTATTTCAGTACAAGCAGTGGTGCATGGCAATGGATCAAGGAAAAATTCCCTCCGAAATAAAAGCTCTCCTAACTGGAGAGGAGCAGAGCAAATCTCAGCAGAACTCAAGCAGACATACCAAGGTTGTAAAAACAGAAGCTAATAACAATTCCTGTAAGTACACAGTGTTTGTTAAATTGATAATTGTTGAAGTCATGGTAGGTGTTTTATTTGTAGTCTGTCTCTCCCCAAACCAAAAGTTTAGATTAAAACAAAATTTTTATGTCATTTGTTATGATGAGCAAATGAAATGGCATGAGTGTCAAAATATTAAAACATGTTTTACCTGAGTGTATAAAGAGCACCTGATACTCCTTATGGGGAAACTTTTTAGTAGAAACAGTTGTCTTGTAGATAGGGGGTTTGTGTTATTTTAGATATCTTCAGTATGCTACTTTGTCATATTGAAATTGTCTTCATTCCACAGTTGCTCTAGGAGCACTTGGATTAATAAAGGAAGAACATTATAAATAATCAGTCTTTCACATTCCTTTTTTTAATCTGAAGTTTTATTCTTGTATGAATAGAATTGGTTTTTCAATGATTGTTATTGATGAGGAAACATCTTAATTACAAATTGAATTGAAGAACAGTAAGTCAACCTACTACTCTTTGAATATATTTTTAAAAAATCATACAAACTGTTTGCATGTAGATGCTTAATTGAGGCAAAAAAGTAGATTATCACAAGTTTAAAGTTTGTTGTGCAATTCCTTTGGTATTAAAGTTGGTTTTTTTTTTTTTAGGGTGAAGATTGTTTCCATTTAAACTCATGAATCAGTTGCTGAATTGAACATCCAGAATCACATGAAGAATGGACAAGACTGGGCTTTGGAATTTAATTTGCTACCTACAGTTCAACGGTCTGAACAACTTGCAGTTGTTGACCAAAATCTGTGATTGTACGTGTTGAAGGCCTTGCTTTAACCTTCAACAATAGCAAAATTCAGAATATTCGATCGTCTTTCATTTGATGTTGATAGCTATGGTAGATTTGCACATGATGTGATGCTTGGAAAAACCTATGTGACATGGAGGACAGTAAGTTAAAAGACAATAGTTTTGCACCTTAGCTCCATATTGGTTAATTATGTTCTTTTCATTTAATTGTGTGTGTTGGTGTCACTTCATTTACTCTGTTTTTTGTATAGTCTTATTCAGAGAAACCAAATAGGCTGTTTGCTAAATTATAAGTTTTCAGCCTTTAAAATGGACCTGAACTTCTTTTATCAAATTTACTTGAGTGATTTGTAATATATATTTCCTGCGGGAACCACAGATTTGTTCTGTGCATCATTCCAGCATAAATTGTGCATATGTATTAACAATTATATGCATTTCTATTTTTGTAATCCATGATGATCTTTCTGTTATATTGTACCTATAGGGACAATCCATATGAAGAGCTATTTGGGGAAGCTTCTCCTAGAAACTCTTGTAGCGGTTCTCCCCAACTGTATTTATAAACTATTGAAATTTCCCCATCTATATTAGCAAGTAAATTAATCAAATCTTAAAATTACTTTTCAGGTATTCAGATGGAGTGAACATTTTGTTATTGCTGAATGTAGAGAGATATATAAAGAGAATGTAGACAGGTGTATATAAAGAGAAATATTAAAACACTTTTTTGTACACTCAACAAACTTGGGAGACTGTCCTAGAGAAAATAGTTTAAAATTAGCTGCTGGTCCTTCGAGATCTTGTTTCTGCCTCAAGATCTGTAATAAAGTGACATACAGATTGCTTATAGCTCTAATGGCTGCCACAGTAACCAAAATACCAAGCTTCTTTCCTGACTTGAGACTAAAAGAGATTGGGCCCGATTTGTGCTTTATTCTGAGAAAGGTACAGTAGAAGGGTTATATTTCTGTTCTTGCTTGTTCAAGCCAGAGAGATACCTGCCAGAGAGGAACCTATATCTTGTGTGTCCAAGACAAACCCAGAACAAATGAGTACTTTGGTCCCATCTAAGCCACAGCTCTCTGTCCTGAGCCTCACATTAGGTTCAAACATAGGTGTTATGGCTATACACATCACTGCCATAAATGTGTGCGGCCAGGGGGAGCAGGGAGCAGTTCTTCCACTGACCTTTGCCATTCATATCCAAGCCTAAATTTACATGAAGGTTTATTTTCCCCAAAAGAAGGTTTGGTATAGTGTGAGGAATCAGGCTTATGACAAAGTATAAAAATCTTTGAAAAATATACTTGTTTAAAACAAATATGAGTAAGTACTAGATACAATTTAATATTTTTACTCCTGCTTCTGTGATGAGTTCCTTTATCATTGTCTGTTTCTTAGATAGTAGAAGTTGTGATCTCTTACTACTAAACCAAAATTATATGTAATTGGTCCACTATTCCCTATTGATTGACTTTTTCACCAAATGTCTGTTATGAAATGTTATTTTAGGGAAGATACATCTTCCTTAGGAAGATGATGTGGACCATGATGGGGAGCACACAAGTGAATATATATCCTTCTTAGACTGTAAAGTATGCCTTCATCTGGCCTGAGAGCCTAACAACCTGGTATTCTTTGGAGTGCAAACTCAGGTTTGCCCCTTTGGTGTTATGTGACCACCATTAGTAGACTGCTAGCTAAGCCCTCCCCTTTCCCCCCTAATTTTTGTGTTTTGGAACAATAAAGGGATGAAGAATATTTAATGTTTTAGAAACTGGATATGTTTTTGTTGTTTTTGGTTACTTGATCATACATGTTTTCCAAAATATCCTAAGACTTCGTTTACATTGTTTCTGGACCATTTTGAATACTGTCCAGGTAGTTATTGTAAATGTAAATATTCTAAAATGAAAATGGTTGTTTGATGGAATGTGCCTGTTATGCTTGAAATATTTCCTCCCTGGTAGTAATTCTGTATCATGTGAGGTCATTTGAGCTTTTGTTATAATATCTTTACAAGAGTTGATCATTTTACCCTCACATAGAGGATATGGAATTCATGTAAAAGTAAATTACAGTTTGTTGTGCTTATTTTATTCCCAGGACTTTCACTTTGGTCTTTGTGGACAAACAGATGAAACCAAGAGAAGGTGCCTTGGCTTTAAAAAGAAATGTTTTGAGTACTTTGGGGATTGTGCTGTCAGTGTATTTTGGTTACTTTAAAGCATGGTAATAAATGTCATTGATTAAAGGAACTGGAGCACTTCCTGTCCTATTTCAGTTAAAGAGCTTTTTTTGTTTGTGAAAGTAGTAGCATTGCTCGTGTGGTTGAACAGCAAAAAGCAGAGAGAGAGAGCAAAAGATGATGAGAGAATCACTAGTTCTGAAATATTGCATGCTATGACACACATTGGATGAATAGCTACATTGGCACTTTTCTATTTAAGAAGGATCTGGGAAAAAATGTATTTTTACCAGGCATTGGATTCTCAATTAATTTCCTATAAAACGCTGTACATCAAATCAATAGAATATGATATTAAATGAGTTCTAAAAAGTGAAGCTTAGAATTGAGTCTAGTTGACTAAAATATATCTTTCCATGGTATTTTACGTATAATCCCTATTTTATTGTAGCAAACTTATATCATTGTTCACCAACTTACTGATAGTATTTACCAGTGCCATATTTTAGCAACTGATCATCTTTCAATTATGATAGACCTGATTTGGCTTATTATAAGGGAGAATGTCTGGAATTTTAATTGAAATAAAGTCAAAATGTTGTAAGTAACATAATTGGTTCACAAGAAATCAGTTTGATATACGCATATTGCTTAAAAAGAAATATGACTTTTAAAAAGAAAACACATGGTATTTCTGGGACATTGAAGGAATTTTTATTTCTCTAAAGAGCATTGTACATTTATATTTTTTATTAAAAATAAAAAAGAGGTCTCAATTGCATACTTCAAATTACTAAACTATTTCTGCTTAAATGTTTCTTTTGATAATATACATTATGTGGATAGCTAGGTTGAGCAGTGGATTGAGTGCCAGGCCTGGATTCAGGAAGACTCATCTTCCTCAGTTCAGATCTAGCCTCAGACACTTAATAGCTGTGTGGCCCTGGGCAAGTCACTTCACCCTGTTTGTCTCAGTTCATCATCTGTAAAATGAGCTGGAGAAGATGGCGAAGCACTCCCGTATCTTTGCCAAGAAAACCCCATATAAGGTCATGAAGAGTCAGACTTGCCTGAATAATAAAAATTATGTGACTGGCATGAGAGTTAAATTTACTGAAGCACAGAATTTTAGAATTGGAAGGGACCTTAGCTGCTATCTAGTCCAACCCATATGTAAAAAGAATTCTCCTTATAACATATTCCACAAATGGTTATTCCACAGTCTTTTCTTGAAGACCTCCAAAGAAGGAAAACTTGACAACTCTTGAAATAGCTCATGACACTTTTGTAGAGTTTTAGTTGTAGGGAAGTTTTCCCTTTTATTTAGCCTAAATTTACCTCATACAACTTGTACCTATTTTCCTGGTTCTACCCTCTGGGGCTAACAGAGTAAATCTGATTCCCCCCTCTACATGACAACCTTTCAAATACATGGAGACAGCTCTTGTGTCCTCTGGTGTCTTCTCCAGGCTAAAAATAACCATTTCCTTCAACTAATTTTCATGTGACATGATTTCAAGGCCCTTCACCATTCTGGTTGCCCTCCTCTGGACATTTCCATTCCAGCAACCAGTTTCTTCCCTATTGATAAGAATCTGTAGAATAGAATTTCCCCTTGTTTGCTCCTCTATTATTTGAAGAATGAAGTTGTCACTAGAGCAAATCAGAAAGTTATTAGCTATTATGCTTTTGGCAGAAAAAAAACCAGATATATCTGGATAATTGGAGCCTCCTTTGCTAGGCTTTTGACTGGTGTCTCAACTGCCTCCTCTCTTTCTTCTTTCAGTCTAAGTGATCTGCAGATTACCAGGATAAAATCACTTCTATTTCTTCCTTTGTTGACCTTCACTCAAATAGTCCCCATCATTCTCCCCTTTTTGCCCTCTTCCTATCCCTGCTCCTATTTTTGGATTTCCTCACATGAATTTGCCTTATTAATATATTGTACCTGTTATATTTCTTTTGAATAAGTTATACTCATCAAGAGCCATGGTCCAGTCATGGGTTTCATCCCACCAAGACTCAGTGATACCTGTTAGATCAAATTTGCCTACTTAGATTAGAACCCCTAGTTCTTTTTGTTTGTTGCTTAAACTTTGAGCATTTGTGTGTAGACATTTGAACATATGGGCTTTTATTTATTCAGCTCATTTCTTGGATTTTGTCTCTTGGGCACTTCTGGGTAGCTCAACTGCTATTTTCCCTTTGCAACTATTCCCTGTGCTATCTAAATTGAGAAATAAACATGGGCAGTCTTCTCCCTCCTCCAACCTTTTTTAATTTAAAGTCTTTTTGATGAGACTTGTAAGTTATAGAGCAATTATATTCTAAACCAGTCTTCATTATACAATCTCTGACCAGGAATGTCAATCCTGTATTTTAAGCTGTGGTCCAGAAATCCAAATCCTATTCTCAGACAGCAAATTTTTAGCCAGTTTACTCCCCAAATCAATTTTTCTTTTCTGCATCTTAAGTGCAGCCCTTTGACTGAATCCAAACTTCATAGAACAAATTCATTTAGTAAAAGGACTTGTTCTATAAAACTTAGACTCAATCACAAGGCCACACCCAAAGACCTAGAGGGCCACATGTGGCCTTGAGGCTGTAGGTTCCCCACCCCTGCTAGGGAATCCCCAATTACTACTACTACTACTCTCATATTATTTTTCTGCCTCTGACTGGATAATCTTAACGAATGGCTTCTGAAGTCCATTGTGTCATTCTTTGGTGGACCAGCAGCTTCATCAGAGAATCCAGCTCCTTCTTTTTTCAAGATGACCCTCAAATCTGTTTTTAAACTCTTAATTTTATAGCTGTCCCTTTCCTTTCCTTTCCCTTCTATATGACACTTTCACTCTCCACGATCCTAAAAAAAAGTCAAATCACCCTTCTTACACCTCAGAACCACCCCTTTCCCATTGAAACCTCATTTTAATTTCCTTTAGGAACAACCTAGAATACAGAAAGGTATTCTTCCAGTCCTTTGACTGATCTCCCTCCTAAAACAGATAAAGTTACTTAGTTCTCACAGAAATGGAAGCATTACACATTTGATGCCAGTCATTGTACAGTTCCTTCTATTTTCCTTATTGATTGTGATTTTTCAACCTTTTTTTTTAAATTTTAATTACTTGTGGATGTTTATATCTCAACCTTAATCACAGATGGACCTTTTTTAAGTCAGCCAATATAAGTACAAATCTCTATTGAGTTTGCTAAATAGAATCTTAGCATTAGAAGAGACCTCAGAAGTCATGTAGTCTGACCCATATATAAACAAAAATCCTAAAATGTCCCTAACAAGTGGTCTTCCAGTCTTTGTATGAAGATGTTTACTTTTTTTTTTTTTAAGGTATAAAGGTACCACATACCAAGGATGGTAATGAATAGCCCTTTTTTGGTCGAGAACATCTTTAAACCACAAAATCTTAAATACACAATGCCTCTACTTCCTATACCTCATCCCCTAAGATATATTTCATACCTCTTTCTCCCTAGAGATGATTATTGGTTTCCTCACATTGACCCTAAATCAACATTTTTTTAGCAAAGTAAATATAGAAATTCCTTCCTATGTGTGTATTCAGAATCATGAGCCCTAATTCTTAAAACAAAAAACAAAAAAACAGAACACCTTGGTTTCATTTGTTTTCCATTTGTAGTATAGCTCACTTCTGGTTTCTGTGCTTATATAAAATCACTACTTATTTTTAGTAACACAGCTGTCTACTGCTAACTTTGGTCAAGAGTTACTCAAGTAATGTGTTTCTATTGTTTTCAGTATTTTACAGGTATGAATTTTCAAGCTGTTTCCATAATATACACAGAGATTTGGTCTGCACAGGAAAAGAGGTCTCCCATAGGAATAGTTGGAAACACCAAAATACAAAAATGGTAGAAAATAAACAAAACACGGTTGTCGGGTTTTTTAAATTACCAATTCCTCTCAGTTATATGAGAGAGAATCCTAACAAACGGTAGCTTGTTGAAAGCCCTAAACTCTAGAGTGTGTTTCTAAATCCTATTTTCAGTACTATTTCTCCTTTAATGCCTCTCTGAGAGAGAAAAAGTTATTTAGTGGTGAGTGGTGAATAAAAGCAACACAAATACCTACCCATTATTTAGGTTACTGGTCTCCCTTTTTCCTACCATCTTGAATCACAGGATTCCCTTTAGTTTCCTAAAGGCAGAACAAGGTGGAAATATCACTTCTGTATAGTACCATACATTTGTATGAGTCTTAACCTTTATATAATTTTATTCTCATGACAACCCTGAAATAGATAAGTTTGGTGTTAAGACAATGGAGGGGAGATTGGGTGTAGCCACATTGAAAGGCCAGTTGATGGGATTATAGTCTGAGGCAAACACCAAAGCTTTGGCTGTGTGCCTGGGAAAGTCCAGGGTTTTTCCTTTCTGGGGCCCAGATCCCAACCCCATCACTAGGGCACAGACTGACTCAATGCTTTCATCCTTCTTCTTTTCTTCCTTTGCTCTTTTTCAAAGACCTAACAGGAATTTGAGAAATGTACAGGATGGTCACCATAAGTTAGGGTGAGGTCCCTCATTTAGGGAACCTAGGTCTGAAACAGAAAGATTGTTGAATAGGAGAGACCTAACCATTTCCAACCATCTGAAAGGTGAAAAACCTTAGACTCAAGGCCCTAAGGGAGCAAAACTGGAAAGGTGTCTGCCAGTCATAGCCTGAGGACCTTTGTCTTTTCTGAAAGAGTACAATCATACTGTAACAGAGGGAACACAGTAGCATCCAACTGAGCATAAGACTGGACTATGGTTACTCATTAGAGAGTGAGTTCAGGAAGTTCAGAGGATTGATTGATCACCAATTAGAGATGCCCCAACTTGTGAGAAGTCAGCCCAGAAGCTGAGTGACCTTCCTGGACTAGTCCAGCAACAGATTAACCCGTAAGGCTGAAACAACATGTTCTGTGAGGAACCCTGTGAGAAATCAACCAAAGGGTTGGGATGCCCATTGAACTGAATAAGCAGTTTCCTCTCTAGGGACTCAACCTGCTGGTGTGAGTGTGAGTTGGAGGAGTGATTGGGGGT